TAAACTCGGTAAAAAGCACATATATGAAACTACCTGATCGCGAAAAAGTACATACCCTTTCCAAGGATGAACATTTCCACGTATAAAATAAATAAAATATCCAAAAACTTTTACCTCTAAATTATCTATTATATTATAAACATCACCAACGAATTTATACCGCAAACATTAAAAATAGTTACAAATACTTAGTATCAAATATTTAAATTATTTCCATACACGTTTACTTCAACTGAAACGTATACCAAATTGCTACAAACATAAAATTCACAAAATAACTATCATTTAATTAAAATATCACTAAACAACGTACACGTCGACTTATTTTTACTTAAAAAAACATCCCAGAATTGCACAAAAATGGCATTGCGCACACTCTTCACTATATCCATGTACACTGCTTTTTTCTCATAAATTAGAAAAATTTCACGAAAATGCATGTGAAAATACTCAACGTATACTACTCAAACGTATTCCAAAATACTACAAATATATAACTCACAAAATCACGATCATTAAATTAAAATATAATTAAATTAAAAAACACTACTTAAAATATAAATAAGCACATACATTAAATTAATAAAAATTAGATTACAATCCTAATTACTTTAAACTAAATCATTGCTAATAACAATTTTCCAATAATACCATATTAATTTATTTACTCCTTACATTTAGAACAATGCATAAAAAATATCCTCAAATGATTAAAAATACTAACTTACCTAATCTTCTTCAGAATCTTCATTACATGGCACGCACACTTCCCTACAGAAAGAGTTCAATCGGCTGCAGTACTACTTCTAGTTTCTAAATCCGAAATCCAGTAGTCAACTGGCAGTCTATTCACTTAGTAATAAGAAATTAATAAAATTTCACCCATACTCAAACTACTTTCAGCAAACCACACACTCTTCCTTACACTCCGTTTCACAAAATGTCCATTTTCACCAGATTTCTTGCACCGCCATTCAAACTTATCTGTAATATCCTTCCTTTCACACAATCTCATTTCATTCCCACATTTTGGACATTCGTACTTATCCGCAATTAAACCTACACTCATAAACCATTCAACAATTCTTTTGAATTATCAGATAAACACATTAAAAATTTAGAATTCACTTTAAATAGCGCCATGCAATACGAAAATTAATCAACACTATTTCACACAACACACAATGAAGCTTAATACAAAATAATATAGTACTACAGATATTTTTCCAAATTTTACCACCTTTTCCGATTAAAGAACTGTAATTCGTCCATTAATGTCACATGACATATCTCATGATCTCTCATTTCTCTCACACAAAATAATGCGTAATCGGAACTGAGTACTTCTCACATTATTACCAAAGTCTTAGGTAGTAACCTTTATCGCCTCCAAAATGTCGCCGAACTACCTGTTACCATATTCCAAAGATCAGCCCAAAATAATATAGTACTACAGATATTTTTCAAATTTACCCCCTTTTCTGATTAAAGAACTGTAATTCGTCCATTAATGTCAGATGACATATCTCATGATCTCTCATTTCCCTCACACAAAATAATGCGTAATCGGAACTGAGTATTTCTCACATTATTCCCAAAGTCCTAGGTAGTAACCTTTATCGCCTCAAAAATGTCGCCAAACTACCTGTTACCATATTCCAAAGATTAGCTGAAATTTTCTATTTCTTAAGAAAAGCATTAATTTTGTTGATAGCTGACCTTTCTTTATTTTTGGAAATAAGTTGCAGAATTATGGAACCCCTTTTCATTAAGAGAATTACAGAACTTATTTCATATAATGCTAAAACTAATAAAGAAAGCATCAATTTTAGTATTTTATGAAAAAAGTTCTAAAATTCACTTATTTAAATTATGATTTATTATAAAACAAGGAGGACGGAGGGAAGGGGAACTTGGGGACTTATGTATTACCCCATCGACCAGGCAAGTAGTGCAATTTAGAGACAATTACAGGTGGCCTGTGTTCTCTAGAACTCAGCAGTAACCATTGGCAATTCACAAATGTTGAAGAAATTTCCACCAATGATCAAGAAGTATTTAAAGATACTACATAAATACCAAAAATTGGTCTTTCCTTGCTGAAACAGCCATCACAGAAGCCTCTGAAAACATTTCATCATGGATTTCACAAGTAAGCTTCTGAATTCTGGTGAATAAATATGATGGGCACTTTAACAAGAAATTAAAAATTCAACAACTTTAACAAGAAATTAACAATTAAAAATTCTGTTGAATATTTTTAATGTTCCTCTTTACATTTAGCTTTTTTTCCCTCTATGTTTACATAAAACATTTCAGTTGGACTATGCCAAAGTTTCAGCCTGATGCACAGAAATAAGAAAGTGAGCTGCTATTTAAGTATCACTTTTCAGGCATAAAAAAAATATAATCTGATATACTAAAATGCACAATAATCATACAGAAGAAACATAGTTATAATTAAATAAGCAACACATAATTATTAATTGAAAATAAATAATTCCCATGAAAACATTCACCACAAATACAAGGCACATCATGGATGTTAACTGAAAATTTGGTTGATCTTTACATTGTGGTAACTTGTCGATTTTGGGCGAAAATTTGGCGACCAACTCTCCTACAGCAACCCTCTATTTTTTTTTTCCCGCCGCCATTTTGTCTTCACGAAGTAAAGACATGTATCTTTTCTTTTTATCTACTGAACACTTTTTCCAACAATCTACGAGCCGAATTACACTTATGCTAGAAATTTTATGTAACAAAACTGCTTAATCATGACAAATATTAACTGCAAAATTGGGAAAAAGTGCACAATACCATACTCCTTACGGCGTTTTCAAAATAACCACATACACATAAACCATGTACACGTCAACTTATTTTTACTTAAAAAAACATCCCAGAATTACACAAAAATGGCATTGCGCACAATCTTCACTATATCCATGTACACTGCTTTTTTCTCATAAATTAGAAAAATTCACGAAAATACATGACAATTTTCTGAATCTTAAACCCGGTAAAAAGAACATATATGAAATTACCTGATCGCGAAAAAGTATATACCCTTTCCAAATATGATCATTTCCACATATAAAATAATAAAAAATATCCAAAAACTTTACCTCTAAATCATCTATTACATTATAAACGTCACCAACGAATTCATACCGCAAGCATTACAAATACTTAGTGTCAAATATTTAATTATTTCCATGCACGTTTACTTCAACTAAACGTATACCAAATTCCTACAAACATAAAATTCACAAAATAACTATCATTTAATTAAAATATCACTAAACCATGTAGACGTCGACTATTTTTCTTAAAAAAAAAAATCCCAGAATTGCACAAAAATGGCATTGCGCACGCTTCACCATATCCATGTACACTCCTTTTTCTCATAAATTAGAAAATTTCACGAAAATGCATGACAATTTTCTGAATCTTTAAACCCGTTAAAAGGAACATATATGAAATTACCTAATAACGAAAAAGTATATACCCTTTCCAAATATGACATTTCCACGTAAAAATAAATAAAATATCCAAAAACTTTACCTCTAAATTATCTATTATATTATAACGTCACCAACGAATTCATACCGCGAACATTACAAATACTTAGTGTCAAATATTTAATTATTTCCATGCAGTTACTTCAACTAAAACGTTACCAAATTCCTACAAACTAAAATTCACAAATAACTAATTAATTAAAATATAATAAATTCAAAAAACTATTTAAAATATAAATAAGCACATACATTAAATTAATAAAAATTAGCTTCAATCCTAATTACTTTAAACTAAATCATTGCTAATAAGAATTTTCCCAATAATACAAAATACTTTACTTCCACCTTACATTAGAACAATGCATAAAAATAATATCCTCAAATAATTAAATACTAACTTACCTAATCTCTCAGAATCTGATTACGTGTCCGATAAACTTTTCTTATTTCTGTTTCAGGATCTTTAAAATCATACTTATAGTCACAGCAAGGTACCAGGTAAAATATATAACTTAAAAAAACATCTTTACTTCTATCTCGCACAACCTTAAAGAAACACTTATTACTACCCCTTTCAATCCCACTAAATACCCTTCGAATTCCTTTAGTTAGGGCCATGGGATCCAAAAAATTAACGAACACTGTTTCACACAACACAGAATAAAGGTTAAATACAAAATTTCCAGATTTTTTCCCGATTTCCCCCCTTTTTCGATTAAAGAACCGTAATTCGTCCATTAATATCACGACATATCCCATGATCTCTCATTTCCCTCACACAAAATAATGCTTAATCGGAACTGAGTACTGCTCACATTATTACCAAAGTCCCAGGTAGTAACCTTTATCGCCTCCAAAATGTCGCCAAACTACCAGTTACCATATTCTAAAGATCAGCCGAAAATTTTTCTTTGGTATGGAATTAGTATTAACAACTAATACTTCCATTAATTAACGAAGAACTAAGCTATTTCATTTATGATATAATTACAATATAAATTAACAACCTAAAGTATTTACACTACCTATAAAAATTTTATGAGCTTAGTCAAAACAGGTATCCAAACTGAAATATAATATAACCTAAGCTTACTCTTTCGTCTACATTAGAAGAACGAAGGTAAAATTACAGAAATAATTATCCAACTACAGCAGCACACAAAGCTGGATAAAATGAACGCATATCCAATTGATAACTCTTCAATAATTACTACTTGGCAAACTAATCATAGACCACAATTAATATATTTCCTTTTAACGTATGAAAAATAGAAACAACTTGCCTTACCACAACTTTAAAATTGTCTAAAAACTGCCGTTAATGGATTAATACAAAAATAATTTTATTAGTGTCTTTATTCACGGAACAAAATTAATAAAAAACCCCCATCAGTCTAGTATGAACACTCTTATATGCATAAACCATACTAATAAGAATAAAGAGAATACTGCAGAAGAAAACAGTGAATTAACTACCAGGTCAAATCTGCATTCCTATTCCTTTTATTTCGAACTAAAAAATAAAAAAAAGTTTGTATCAGTATTTATATCATTTTACATAATACAGTAAATTACTCATCTTTTGACTGCAATAAATATTAAACATATACATTTCTATAAAAGTACATTACGAACGAGTAAGCAACCCTTTTCACTCAGTGCCTTTACTAGATTAATTTCACTACACCCTATACAAAAAATATTATATTTTATCTTATGGAAAAAAATAATTGCACATGTTTGTCAACAATGAAACACTCACCATCAAAAAACACAAATATATTTTGCTGCCCCAAAACTACGTCTTTCTGCTTATTGCAGAAACAAACTAACGAAAGTGCACTTCAACAGCCAGCAGCAGAGGTGTAACACCTGGGTACCTTGAGCAACGAGGACCTACCCCTAATCGAATTATGAAAATTTCCTAATTAATACTTCCCATTAACTGGGCAATAAGTATTTAAGCATACTGATAATGATTTAAATATTTGAAGTTTTTTTTTCTTTTTAAATTTTTGATATCTTTAAATTGTTTAGCTGAGCTGTTCGAACTAAGTGCAAGAGACTAAAATAAAAGGGGTTAACACAATGGCAAGTACGAAAAGTTTTATGCTAGTAAAGAATTAAGACGCAATAAAAGCAAGTAAAAAATAATCGTAGTTTATTTTTTTTTTCTTTTCTTTTCTTTTTTAAAGCAATTGAGTAAACAACGTTCCTGGCAGGGATGAAACGCGTAAAAGTACGCGGGAGGCGAAAATCATGGTTGGCCGGACGCGTATTTTTATTTTCTCCCTAGGAAACGCAACTCGCAACTAAATTTGGCGATTTACCAGGTCTTGGCGAAATTGTGTGGCGAGCGCATGCGCAGAGATGGACGAAATATCGTGATGATATGTCGTGTTTTATAGCGTGATACTTGATACGCGACGTTAAATACAGACTTATTCCGTGCTTTTCCTCATGATAACAGTTCAGTTGCGCATGCGCCAGAAATGGGTTACTTAAAGTGTCAATTTGGCGCTTTATCTCGAAGAAAATAAGTTTCATTATTTAGGAAAATGAGCAAACATTGCCGAGAGAATGAATAATCCGTTTTTTTTTTAATTTATGTGATTTATTTTCATTTTTAGAGCCTTTAATCCAAAAAATGTTTGAAAATTTCAGGCTGTTTACGTCATAGGACATAAAAATTTCGTTTCGGAAAGAAAATAGTAGAGAAAATTAACAAACTTTTGAAGATGCTTATTATAATTTATAGTAACCATTAATTAATAAACATCTTCAAAAGTTTGTTAATTTTCTAATTTATTAATAAAATCATATGAGAATAAAGTGAATTTTTTAAAAAAGGAATCGTTCGCTAAAGAAAAAAATTACTCATGTATTAGTAGTAAACTTGAGAAACTTTATTTCAATCAAATTTTATGTCAGTATGTATGTAACAGTAAAACAAACAGAAAACGTAAAAATACATTCAAGAAGTAAATATACATGATTGTATGTATAAATCAAAATATATTATCTATATTTGTATATATAATTCTGAAGTAATCCCAATATCAGAAGAGACAACTCTGATTCTATAAACACTGGAAATGTAGAACTCAAATTCAATATAATTTTCCTCAGTTGAGCTTTACATTACTTAATTTTTTAAAATCGGTTTGTTTCAGTCATGGAAAACTGTATTTTTCTGTACAATTAAGCTTTTGATTGTAGAAATTTTGTCGTTTACTCTGATTTTCTCCCCCCCCTACAGACAATAAATATAAGTAGCCAATATATTCCAAAGATTTCATTTTTATATTTATATATTGCATAACATCGAAAAGTACCAAGAATAAGCTGTGTAAAGCAGAGTATATTTTTTTAAAAATTTATAGTAAAGAAGGATTCCCAGGC